TGTACATTTGCGCAAAAGCAGTCAAAATGACTTCCTTGGGCAATCTAGTGTTAAACAATTAAAATTTGTAATTTACCGCAGTGGAAGCTCGTGATTCTCAAATACGTTTTTTTTGTTTTATCTCCGCAGTATTTGGATCTCGAAGAGGAATTTGAAAAATGTAAATTGGAAATGAGAGAAGAGATCTGTCAGAAGGATAAAGAGATAAAAGACCTGGAAGATAAAATTAAGAAGCTAGAACGGCCATTAACGTCTGATTCATGTGTACAAGTTACAGACGAGTTTAATTTTTCGTCCCTGTTAACACAATCGAATATGGATAATTCGATTAACTGCCAACCGTCCAGCGAATCAGTTTCAAAGTTAACTCAATGTAACGATAGTATACGAAAACTGCCTCAAGAATACAAGTTTGATAGAATCCTCGAGTCTTCGAATATGTCTGACGGTTTGATGCCACGACTGACTGCAGACGACGTAGACAGCCGTAAATGCGATATATGTGAGATGCATGCGCAACATTCAGAGAAGAACGTGAATAACGATAATACAGGCAAAGTGGAACCTCAGTGGAACACGACGGATATTAATGGAAAACTCATGCACGAGAAAAGTATTCACAACGGAGACTATGATTTCGTGCAAAACACGTTCAAGTTACAGAACTTAAGAGCTATTAACTGTCAATGTGTGAGGAACGACGCCCAAGTTTGCTGTATAAATATTAATATATTGCATCACTTGAACATGAAACTCCAGGCGCAGGAACGAAAGAAACAGGAATTACAGAAATTGTTCAAACAACAACGGTATCACACTGAACACGTTTTGCAACGTAAGTTCCTCTCTCTAAATTCTATTTAAAATTTCGAACAACGTATAAAACAATTAAGTAAAATACTCTGTTTAGATATACTGTCTCAGCACCAAGCAGAGATCTTGGAATTACAATGTCTTCTTCGTAACACTCAAAAGAGGCTTCAATTGGAGTATCAGGCAAACGTGGTCAAGGTATGTTTTTAATCAATTTGTGAAAATATTTCTTGGTCATATCGATTCGATAACTTCTTACACTTAACAAATTATGGCATCACGAAATTGATGAAAATTGTTCAAATTTGTTGGAGATGAGCAAACAAATTATCGTAGGACGATGATTTTTCTTTTAAATTCAAGCTTGAAACCTCTATTTTAAGACGCTATCCGGAAGATTTTCAGTTGATATAATGCCATAATATTTTTTTATTGTACAGGATGTCATTTAACTGGTGATACAACCGGATAAGGGTTGATTTTATGACACTCTGTATACAGGATGTCCCAAAACTAGTGTAAGATATTGAAATGGGAGGTTCCTGACGTAATTTTAAACAACATTTTCCTTAGCGAAAAAGTTGTCCGAGGCGCGGTTGAAGAGTTATTAACAAAAAACCCTGACCAATCAGAGCGCTCAGTTGGTGCGAGCTTTATAGCGGGAGCGTTGGCTCGGATCCGGACGCCCGGCCTTTGATGCGTGAACAACCGCTCCGCTCAATACGAAGCGTTTTAAGAAAATGACAAATAATGAACTACATGAATAACAATGCAAGGAAATTAATAACAATTAATACATTTAATCGTCATTCAAATGGAATGGATGCGGAAATGATATATTGTTGATAGGCCGAGCGTCCAAATCCGAGCCAACGCTCCCGATTCGGAGATCGCGCCAACCGAGCGCTCTGATTGGTCGCGGTTTTTTGTTAATAACTTTTCAACCTCGCCTCGGACAACTTTTTCGCTAAGGAAAATGTTCTTTAAAATTACGTCAGGAACCTCCCATTTCAATATCTTACATTGGTTTCGGACACCCTGTATAGATTCAGAAAGTCCTAAAGTTATGACAGGTTTTGTCACGGGTCGATTCTTATTTCATTATTCTATTCTATATAACTATGAAACCAATGGAACATTTTTAAACCTGCATCATACAATATTGAATAGAACAGATTGCGTAAAATTTTTTACGTGATCATCACCTAAACCATTTTTTCTTTCACAGGCCGAGCAACTGGCGCGAACTGACATCCTAGTAAAAGACTTGTACATAGAAAATGCTTGCTTAACAGCTAATTTGAAACGTTTACAACAGAATTATCACATGTTAACAGGGGTGAACGCCGAATCAACTTCAATATGATATTATAATCAATTGTTATCAACATATAGAAAGCTCAGCTTTATTAGTAAGATATTAGTAATGATATTACTAATTTTCTAACGTTAGTGCACGGGCTAGAGAGAGATATATATATATAATTTATCTTCATTGTTAATTGTAATATATACTCTGCTCTATTCTTTCTTTTTAATTTTTAGAATTTAAAAAAAAAGAATAAACGAAATTGTTTTTCTAATAATGTTAATATGAAATCGCAAAGTCCTGAGGAAGCTGAGAAAGTAATAGACGAACTTTATTATACCTTAAACATGCGACTTCTGTGTCATGGAATTGGATATATGTACAGAGATACTGAATGCACGATTAGGAAAATAATTATACGCATTAGGATGTTTTAGGCTCGAATAAAAAATTGTAATTTACATTTTGGTTGAAGGATAACGTTGTATTAAAAGAAGGAATCACCTGTTAATCATTAAGATCGTTGAAGTTAATTAGAGATTTTCACTTACGTATAAGCAAACAGTATTTATTGCCAGGTTCGAATGTTTCTACTGTGGAACGAGGATTCGAGCATTCATAAATGAACTTTTTCCTTTTGTAATTTGTAAACTACTATTACGAATGTATTCTATTCTATACATATGTATATCTCAGTGGAAGAATGTGTATATCTTTCGCGCGATGGAAAAAGAGGAGTGTAATTATGAATCATACTAAAAAGTTAACATAGTTAAGTACAAAAATCATGTTAGTATTACGTTCGAATTAATGTTGGTAATGTTGTTCTACGGGAATGATTATGTTTAGTATTGTTTGCTTATGTTCTTTAGCAAATGCCAAAGATAGGGAGTTTTTTATTAATAAGCATGAATCATTGCTGAGTAATTGTTTCAGCGTTTGTTACGTATAACTTAATCTGTTCTTGGATGAAATTGTTCATATTTAATGAAGATTCAATCAAATCAATTTGCTCTTTTGATACAACTGTTTAAACCAAGAATGATACTTGTACCAAACGAATCTATTTATTGCAAATGTAATACGAAATGATATTGTAATACTGTTTTTCTTTATATTAAAGTGAAATACAATCATTTCTTTTCTATTATTTATTGTACATGTATTATTAAATGCAGATTGTTCACGAATAATTGTACTATTTACAACAATGCGTTGTTCTAGCATTTTTTAAATTAACACTCGAAGTCACAGTTTGTTCAACGTTATTGTATCTAAATGCCAACAGATATGTACACAGATTATTGTATATTACATTTAAAAAATGTGCTTAAAATAATTATAGCATCACGAAATGTATAAGTCGAAAATTATCCAAGTTTGGAAGATGATTTTATTCAGCAACAGATTATCGTAGGACGATGATTTTTAAATTAATACTTGGAACCTCTAATTTAAATGGCTTTTCCAGAGATTTGTTTTAAAACGCTGTTACTAGAGATTTTTAATTCGATATATGAAATTTCTCTGGATTAAAGTAGAAGTTTTACGCTTTAATTGAAAAGAAAAATCATCCTCTATGACGATTTGTTCTTAAGTAACCATCTGCTGAACTTGGTCAATTTTCGACACAAATTTCGTAACGCCATAATAGTTTTTAGTTATACGTACGAACATCAAACGCGTTACCAAGATAATATGTACATACATTTAATCATTTTGTATAGAATTATACCTAATTTCAATTTCGAGTATACCGTTGCCATAAATACTACATTTGATATATAATATTTAACATTTTATCATAAATGTTTGTACACATATTATCATGGTGCAGCCAACTAAGTTTCTCTTCACGTTTGCCTTAAAATGCTTATTAAGACTCTTATACGAGATGCGCGATTACGATTTCCTTTCAATGAACTAAAGAAGTACTCCGGTGTTCTCAATGTAAAAATTATGTCGTCTTCAAACAGTTCTTATCTATTTATAAAGGATGTACTAAACGGCAATAATTATGGTAATAGTATAAGCAATTCTTGAATGAATTAATTAAAAATGTAACATTAATTAAGCATAATTTATTCTGTTGTTCAAGAAACATGTTTCCTACGGTATCTACACGTTGTACATATACATATGTTAAAATGTGCAAATTGTACTGGTTATTAATTAAAACGCGTACCGTAAAAGATTTAAACATCGTTCTTTATTGCTGCTGTAACATTAAACGTCCTACTCTTTTAAAGAGTACTACTAAAAAAAATCATATCAAAATTTGTCTGAAAAATTGCCTCAGTTTGGAACATGATTACTCAACAATTATCGTAGGACGATCATGTTTCTTTTAAATTAAAGCTTGATACGTCCACTTTAAAATGCTGTCACACTAAAATCTATGGACATGTTTTACATATAAATAATAGCAATTTTTAACAATATGCACGGACTTGGATAATTTTTCTTTAATTCAAAGGAAAATTTGAGTATTTTCATCTTCCAAACTCAGGTAATTTTTGTCACAAATTCTGTGGTGAATTCTTTGAGTTAGTTAAAAGATGATCAAGAGGCAAACACTGTAAAGGTTTCTCCTCCACGGACGCATAACTACACGTATAGCTGTGTATTATTAGGTATCTACATACAATGCATACAATTAGAGATTAAGTAACGCGATTGTGAATTGTGAGAGGCTGGCATGAGAGCTGAGAGAGTAGAGATTGTAACGATGATATTATAGGTCAGATGTGTCTTTCACTTTCACGTTGCAACATCGATCTCCTAAGAAAAGCTTCGTCCACAAATATCGATCAACTTTGTCGTGAAGGAGTATCATTACCATAAAAATGGGACGCTCTTGTTGGACTTTAAGAGTTTTCATCCAACACGTGATGTTTATTTTCTTGGCGCAGTTCAACGTTTTTGTAAGTAACTACATAGAAGTGCATATTTAAGAATAACTTTAACCAGAATAACTGAAATAATTTCCTCTGAGTTTAACAATAATAAATTAATAATAACCAAAGTGAAACATAAAATATGGGCCGTCATTTTTTAAAATGGGGTAAGTCCCCACCGTCACCATTGAATGTCTGATCATAAATATAAGAAGTGGATATCTACATCTCACTGAATCTACCGTTAACTCATTTTTTCCAAAAGTGGACTTACATTAAAAAAAAAAAAGCACAATTTTAATGAGAGATTTAATCGTGGTATTTATATTTCAGAGCACTGGGATTGCTATGCGAACAACATCGTTTTCATGTTTAAATCGGACTGCTGGCTTTTATGCGGACTTGAGCACCAATTGCAAATTGTATCACACCTGCGATGAGTATGGAAACAAATTTACATATTACTGTCCTAAAGAAACCGCATTCCGACAAGACGCCTTGATATGCGATCATGCTCATCTCGTTCAGTGCCAAGGACACAACGCGACAGAATATGAAGAGGCGAACGAAGATACTGATTCCTCTTGCGTGAGAAATTCACAGAAAAGCCATTTTTCATATACAACGGAACCAGTAATAAAAATGAACAATAAAATGGAACAGCAATCAGTCTTTAACTTTAAACAAACAAACAAAAATGCGAGCAACAAAACAGAAAGTAAAATAATGAATACACTGTATTCATTGAACTACTTCAATTTTACTACGAACGCTCCTATTGAACGCACTAAAACACAATATAATAATATAGCTACGACAAATCAGTATAGAGCCAGTTTTTCTATTCAAAATCCAAGCCTTTACGACAAGAATAAATTGAACAAAAAACCGAGAATGGAGCAACAAGGATCGAACCAAAGGACAAGTGATTTAAAACAATCGTCAAACACATTTTCTGGGATTATTAGAAATGCAGAAAATAATGCAAAAGATTATCAATCTACGAAAAGTTCTAATAACTTTTTACAACCACCTCTGACGAATTACAGGAATTATCCATACTTGGAAACTTTAAAATCTATACAGAAGAACACAAAAATTCCTTCTACGACAATTGGCATTAGAGCAACGAGCATCGTGGCGACTGCGACTGAATTACCTGTGCACGCTTTAACATTATCTTTAAAACCTTTGGTACCAGGTGAATTAGAATACGATCCGTATTATCCAAGAGTTTCAACGACGACGGAATCATACTATACACCCATGCACAGTGCTAATGAATCGTTATATGACAAAACTTCTACCAGTACGACGTGGTCGATTAGCAATTTTGAACTACCATCTGTTTTGCCTGACTTGAACTTTTTGCAAGACATCGTCGATCGTAGAAAATTGCTATATATTGCTCCGCTGAAATATAATTAATATATTCAAAAGCTTGATTTAATTGGTTTAATATATTCAAAAACAAAATTCTCTGTCCGAAAACAAGAGTCCCATTTGATAAATTTGTTTTTTGTTTATTTATTAAGAGTAGAAAAATAGAAAAAACGGATCAAGTCTTCTTTGATAAACGTGTATTGTTTGAAACGTCAAATTTCAAACGAATCGATACATACCACTTCATAGCACAGAGCAAATGTTATTTAAATAGTAAAATTTCATTTCTCCTTTGAAATGGAAAGTATAAATCAAGGTACAGAAGCTAAT